GACTACATCTGTGGAAAGAGAAGATGGAAAAGCTCCATATCATCAGTGAAAACAAGGCCGGGGCAGACTGTGGAACAGACCATCAATTACTGATATGAAAATTGAAACTGAAGCTGAAGAAAATGAAAACAAGTCCACAAGAGCTAAAATATGACCTTGAATTTATCCCACCTGAATTTAGAGACCATCTGAAGAATAGGTTTGATGCATTAAATACTAAAGACCGAAGACCAGAAGAGTTGTGAGATGACATCAAGAACATCATATATGAAGAGAACAAAAAGTCATTAAGAAGACAAGAAAGAAGGAAAAGGTCAAAATGGATGTCAGAGGAGACTCTGAAACTTGCTCTCCACCGTAGAAAAGCTAAAGCAAATAGAAGAATTGAAGAGGTCCAAGAGCTGAACAGAAAATTTCAAAGATCAGCTCGAGAAGACAAAACCAGCTCTGGTAGCATAGTGGTTACGAATCGGGCTGAGATCCTTAAGGTCAGCGGTTCAAAACTACCAGCCGCTCCGAGGGAGAACGATGAGGCTTTCTACTCCCGTAAAGATTTACACCCTCGGAAACCCTGTACAGGGTCGCTATGGGTCAGAACCGACTCGAAGGCACTTAACAACAATAATTTCCCACCATAGTCGCCTTTTCTTTTTACTTTCTCTCTTTTTTCTTTCTCAGTTTCTCTGATTCCCCTACTTTGCTTGCAGCCCCAATTAAATATTCTAGGCTAAACTTCATTCCATTTCTCTGGTCAAAAAATTAGCTTATCTTTAGGTTCTTGCTTATTACATAATGAAAAATAATGAATAGTTATCCTATGACTGTTGTTAAGTGCTGTGGAGTTGATTACGACTCATAGTAACCCTGTATAGGATGTCTGAGGAGTGGCTGGTGAGTTTGAACTGCTGACCTTGTGGTTCCAAACGACCTTGAGGTCCAGTGCATTATCCCCCAGCGCCACACCAGGAATTCCATTTGTAACAATATTTTAATATTGAAATTCAAAGGTACATATCAATAATAGCTCACAAAACAATGAAGAATAAAAGATCTTTTTAACTTTATTACCTATTCATTTTCAAGATATCTACATTTCAAACTAGACAGAAAGACTTGTGGCTTTTTTACATTATGCAGTTTAGTGAAACATTCAGTCCAATCAATAAAAACAAATTGCCTAATTTTCAGCTTTCAAAAACTTGCCAACCTATATAAAGCAAAAGGCTAGTTTCATTATTACTGAGAGAAGAAGTTAGTCAGAGCAGAGGGATGAATTGTTGGTTTGTTTATAACCATAGGCACTGACAGGAAAATACCAATTAGTTTATTAAGGAACGGCCCCCTTGTCCATCTGGACTGCAGTACAATCACGCCACAATAAATAAAAGAGTCATACCCTAAGATCAATGACTCTGTTGTCTAGTCTGGTATCCTGGTTAACTGTAGCTCTTCCTTCCTTTAGGAAAAAAAAAAAAAAAAAAAAATTAATAAACACAGATTTTACTAATTTTTTTTTCAATACTACAAAGCACACTAACACACTTTTAGAAGCTGTTTACTTTTCAGTGAGAATGGAGGGCAGGTGCTCATATTATATCACTTTCAAATTACTTACAACCACTTTAATCTCTACTCAATATATCTCAGGTTTCCTGCCTCAAGATGAGGGATACAAGATAATGGTAGAAAAAAATTAAAAGCAGAGCCAGAGAGATGTTCTTATTAAAAGAGACAGAGATGGAAGGAAGAGAACATGTTAATGCCTTTTGTCTCCCCTGCAACCAAAAGTCCATTTATATTAGTGATGCCTAGATCCTCCCTGCTAGAGTCAGGTTGATAGAGTCCTCAGTTGTGCGGTGGCTCAGCACTTGGCTGCTACCAAAGGGTCAGCAGTTCAAACACACCAACTGCTCCCAGGGAGAAAGATGTGGCAATCTGCTTTTATAAAGATTGCTATGGCACACTTCAGGGCCAGGTTGAAGGAACGGATAACATCTGAGAATAGTGGTTTTCAAAGTATGGTCTGGTGATGCCCAAAGGTCCTTTACAGCCTTCCAGAGAGTCCATGAGGTAGAGTAACACTTTCCCTCCTGTTCTCTCTGAAGTGTGCGAAGAGGCTTTCCAGAGGCTGCCTAGTGTGTGATGTCATGATAGAATATGTGCAGAGGCAGAAATGAGAGGTTTGTTGACAATTAAGCTAGACCTTACAGATGTGTAGAAATGGGAAATGGAAATTTCCAACAGACTACCCTTGACACTAAACTATTTTTTGTTTAGGAAAATGGGTTTTCGTTTTTTTTTGAAAATAGTTGTTTTTTAATAAAATTTTTATAAATATAAAAATATTTATTGTTTATACAAGAGTAATGTATCTATAAATAATATATATGAGGGAGCTACAAAAAGTTCATGGAAAAACTCCATTATCTTTTAATTCTATTTTTCTGTGAAGTTTTGGAAGCCCTCTAGTATTTCTGGAGTCCTGCTGTGGTGCTGTATGCTAAGTGCTAGATTGCTAACCATGAGATTGGGGGTTCTTTACACCAGGGTCACTGTGAGTCCTAACCGACTCATTGGCACTTAACAATAAGAAGTATTTATATATATTTTTTTCAATTAGTTGACATTTAAAAACCTGTCTGTCTTGATTTGTAACATGAGTGGGCTTCAAAAGTTCTTGGAAAAATTGCACTAGCCTTTCACTCCATTTTTCCATGAATTTTTTGGAACCCCCTTGTACTGTACTGTGAATACCAATGGTCATACCACATAGACAAAAGTTTATGGGGTCCATTTCTAAGAGTCGGATATCATGTTTGGTAAGGTGGAGGGTCAGAGAAAAAGAGGAAGACCCCCAACGAGATGGATTGGCCAAGTGGTGGCATTGATGGACGTAAGCGTGGCAACAGTAGTGAGGCTGGCCCAGGATCGGGCAGTGTTTCGTTCTGCTGTGCATAAGGTCACTATTGGTCGGTATGGACTTCATGGCACCTAACAACAACAAAGAGGGCCTGAAACTAAACTTTGAGTACTGCTGATGTAAAAGTGAATTTAAATAAAAATGAAGCTCAAACCAATTCATGTTGTTGTTGTTTAAGTGTTGTCAAGTCAGTTCCTACTCATAGTGACCCTGTACAGGGCTTCCAGGGAGCAACAGTTGCGTTTGAACTGCCAACCTTGTGGTTCAATAAGACCTTGAACTCTAGTGCTTACCCTACAATACTTCATCAGGACTCTAATTCATAGGCACCCTTACTAAAAAGCAGGGCATCCGGCTTTCAATGTTTTGCGAACTAAGCACAATACTTCAAAGGTTAATTTTCACCTCTTCTTCCCCTTCAGGTCGAATGGCATCATCCAGCTGCAGGGGTAGGCGAGGTTCTGCCAAACTGATCACATAAATCTGAAAGATATTGCAACAGTGTGAAGCCTACAAAACCTGATATATTTTGTTTAAAAAACAGTTGACTTAAATGTGAAGCATTGATTACAAATATTTTTAACTAAAAAACTATTTGCTAAAATTAAACAATTTGACACACATTTTCATCCATAAAATTGAGGTCACATTTCTTGCCTCCCTCTGTGGGAGATATAGTAAACAGTTGGCAAACTTTTAGATGCAGACAACTATAATAAGTAGGAAAGAGCACTAGCTGGGGTCAAAGGTCTGGACTTAAGGCCCTGATCTGTCATATAAAAGCTGTCCCGAAGAAAATCACTTAACCTCAGAGCTCTGAAGTTCTACTTTGTAAAATTAGGTCTGGTATAAGAATCAAATGCAGTAAAGAATGTGAAAACACTGTACTAATTTGAAGGGACCATTAACCTGTGAGTTACTACTACTGCTAACAGCATTTGGCCATTTGTAACACTAAGAAACAACTCAATCCACCTCTACTGCACCAGTTTTTCTTTTTTTCTCATTCTTTTAAAAAATATCCCATGATTGTCTTGTCTTATCAATCACATTATATTGCATTCCTTTTGGTTGGGAACAGCCACAGACAAGGAGGTTCTTTCATGTTGTTAACTGTGGCCAAGTCAGTTCTAACCCACAATGACTCGGTATAGGATTTCTGAGGGGCTACTGGGGAGGAGTTTGAACCACTGACCTTGAGGTTCAAACCAACCTTGTGGTAAAGTGCTTACCTTACAGCACCACACCAGGAGTCCAATTATATTGTTAAGAAGACCTTTCAATATTAACTAATTTTAGTGATAAAAAAGTTATGTCATATAAACTAAGTCAGGGTCTTTTTGACTATTCTTTTTAAAACAAAATGTTACTCTACTACTTATTCCCACCTATGATGTAACAGTCCGCTTCCATAAAGCTTCCAGGCTTGGAAACCCAATGGGACAGTTCTACGCTATCCTCTAAGGTTGTTATTAATTGGAACTGACCCCACGGCACACAACAATGACAACTGTGTGTAGAATCTGCTAAAGCACAAAGGGGGAATGGACCTTATTTAATGTAATGAATCCAGAGTTGGAGATCCAAACGGTTACCTCATTACTTTTACAACTAATGAAATTCATCACCTTCTTCGTTAGGCTGTGAACACTTCCCCCCAGCACTTCACATAGTGTATGGCTTAAAGTATATACAGGTGGTTCCCACTTACAATGGGGTTCCTTTCTGATGCCTCTATCCTAAGTAGGTTCTGATGTAAGTTGAATACCTTGTTTTGTTTTTAGTTCTCATTACTATAGTTTTTTATTGTCAGTATCTTTATACATCCAATCTTTGTCTTTGGGGTTGGAAACACTATATATAGCTATTACATATAAACTTATCAGCGATATTCTTTAAAAGTACATTAGGAAATATATAAATCATAAAAATTTACTTTGACCATCAAGAAGAGTAGGATGATACTGGAATTTTGTCAGTTGTGGAAAAAATTTGACTGACTTGTGGAAGGTTCTGATTATCTGGATTATCCCTGGAAATCAGGGATGGCTTTTTTAGTCAGAAAGTTAGTGGATGGTAAAATTAGTTGTCTGGATGGTTCTTTTATTTCTTCACGTATTTCGTGGTAACAATCTCATTGCATCCCGAATCTGCCTTCAGACTTTATTTAGCAAAGTGATTAGCATTTGGGTCCATGTTTTCAAGCATTTGAAGCCCTTGATTTAGTTTAGAAAATTAAATCTACAGAGCAATGTTTGAACAGTAAATCATAAAAGTGAATATATGTGAAAGAACACTTGAGAATAACATCAGCAAATTTCATGCTGTAACATTGTATATATTACACATTACTAACAAGATGACCAAATTTTTTAAATGAGGAGGAAAAAACCCTCTACAATGGACAGTCAAAGCATGTGCTTCATTGTAACTCAAATACATTGTAAGTCAAGGACTACCATATTCAGTAACAGTTTTCTGGCTGAATAAATAAATAAATGGTAAGGAAGAGTCAAGGTTTATTTTAAGATTCTATTGATGCTTTGCGTAGTGGTTACAAATCGGGCTGCGAACCTTAAGGTCAGTGGTTCGAAACTACCAGCTGCTCCG